TGACTCACAGTGACCCTATGGGACAGGGCAGAGCTGGCCATGGGTTTCTGAGATGGTGGCTCTTTACAGGAGTGGACATCCTTCATCCTCACTTAATGGCCAGTGGCCCAAGGAGGGCCCACCACAAGGCGCTTCTCGTGCATCATCTCTTGCCGATGAGAGCATACCCAGGTCAGGGCCCTGTGGCTGAAGGCAGGCTCGCAGGACACCAGCCTCCAGCCCCGGGAGCCCTGCCCAGGAGAGCAGACACCAGGCTGGTGTCTCTCGCAACAAAAGCTGTGTCCTGGGAGAAACTCCCGGACAGCAAACCTGTCTTAAGCGGACCAGGCAATTGCATTGAGACTGCTTTTTTGTTTATATGGGGGAAGTTTTAAAAGCATTAAGGGTAGAAACCATGATCCCCTTGGGTAAACTTAGTCACCGAGAAGTAAACCTATTTCCAGTACATATCACAGAAAGCACTGTTGCCTTCACCCCAACCAGGAACCAGTCATACATACAGCACAGACTGACCCCTAAGCCCAGCCCTAGGCTGGCCATGGAGGCCGATTCTGGGAGACCCAGAAGGGCAGAGAACCAGCCTCGAGGACCAAGACAGCCGTGTCCTCCCCAGGAGTGGCCAGTGGCTTAGAACCACCAACTTCTCTGTCAACAGCTACTTTACCACCTGGCCTCCATGGCTAAGCCTTGCAGAAAACAACAAGCTCATTGCCAGCGGGTCACTGCCGACTCACAGTGACCCTATCCGGCAGAGTGGGACTGCCCCGTGGGTTTCCAAGACTACCATTCTCTTTGTGTGTGTGTGTGTGTGTGTGTGTGCACTCGTACAGCTCTTAGCACAATCCATCCATCGTGTCAAGCACATTTGTACATAGGTTGCCATCATTTCCAAAACATTTTCTTTCTACTTGAGCTTCTTCCCCATCCTTCTCCCATGGAGTTGCTGGTGGATTTGAACCAGGATGCCACCAGGGCCCCGAGGCTAGGGAGTATTCTCGCTGAAATAATAAAGCACACCTTAACGATCACCTTGTTTATCAACCCAAACCAGCGGCTACGATCCTCCCTTCTAGAGGCAAGTCCTTTTCTTCCAAAGCCGTTCTTCTCCGGGAAGACACACTCCTGTAATTACCCATCTGCTGTTTCCAAACCCACCCTGGAGGGCGCTGACCCACAAGCGCTTTCCAAAAAGCCCAGGCGCCCTAGCCTGATAAAGCCCTGCGTCTGAACCGGCCAAAGTTTGCGTAGCGGTTAAAGCGCCGCCGACGCGTCTTCCCTCCCGCTGTCCCCACTCCTCCACTGCAGGCGGATGGCCGCGGAGCCCCGGGACCCCGACGGGCGGCAAGTGTGAATCTGGGAGAAGCCTCTGCGGCCTGAAGGCTAGCGTTTTGCCTTCACCCTCCCTCCGCGGGCAACGCCGGCCGCTCCGGCCTGCAAGTCACCGGGGCCTCCAGGGGCATCCTGGCAGCCGGAGACTCCCAGCCGCTCCCCGGGACCTGCCCGCGGCTCTTCTCGGCTCGCTGCGCCCTCTGCCGGGGGTCCCCAGGGCGCCTGGGCGCCGCAAAGTTAAAGCCCAACTCGCCAGGTACAAAGCCAGGCCGGCGCCCCGGGGCGCGCTTCCCGCCAAAGCCGGGCGCCCGACCCCCGCGCCAGGCGGGCCCGGACGGCGCCGACTGCACACGGGGGAGGATGGGTGCCCGCGGGCCCGCGTCCCCCCCAAAACCCCTTCCAGTCGGTGCGCGCAGCACAGGGCGCGCGGGAGAGCTGGAGAGGGGCGCGCTGACTGCAGCCACCGGCGGCCTAGGTCTCCTTCCGACCCAGCGCCGGACCGAGCGGAGTCCACGGGCCCTGCACCCCGGACTCCCACCGCCCCGCCGTGGGCACGACAGGGCCTCGGGGCTGCGAAGCGCCCGCCGAACCCCTGGGGGAGGTGCGGGCAGGTCCGGACTGGAGGCCGCCCACTCAACCCTGGCCCGGCGGGGACCCAACTTCCCCCGCAGCCACTGTCGTGGCGCCCCCAGCCG